GTGGATTGGTTAGCCATTCTCTTCCCCAGGGGATCTTCTTGACCCAGAGATTGAGTCTGGATCTCTTGCATTGCAGGCAAACTCTTTACCATCTGAGCCACCTGAAATCATATTTCTTTGTCATTTTAATTGTAGTTTCCTATTTACTAATGAGGCTGAGTATCTTTTTATATGTTAATGAACCATTCATGTTTTCTTTTCTGGAAGATGCTTGTCTAAGTCTTTTGCCATCTTTCTATTGTTTGCCTTTTTTACATTCATTCACGAGAGTTCTTTATATAGTCTGGATTCTAATCATTTGTAAGATAAATGTGTTGCAAAAAGTTCTCTGCTGTTTAGCTTACCATTCTCTTGTGCCTCTTGATACATTTTTAATTTTTCTGTAGTCAGCCTTATCAACTTTTATGGTCTGTTTCAACCTTATCAACTTTTGTGGTCTGTTTTTGTTTCTTAAGAAATTCTTCTCTACCCTCTGATCATGAATACATTCTTCTACATTATGTATGTATGTATGTATATATATATATATATATATACACACACACATGCATATTTCAATGTTTAATCCACTGGAAATTGTTCTGTGTACACATTATCAGTTTCCTTTATTTTTTCCCCAAATGGGTAACCAGTATTCCAGTTTCACCTATTGAATGACACATCTTTCCCCACTGCTCTGCAGTGCCTTCTCTCATAAATCACACGTGTGGGTCTCTTTCTGGTTTCTCTGTTCTGTACTGGCAGTCAACTTGTACACTAATGTCTACTTATGCACCAATGTCTGTCCATCCACCAATGCCCAACTGTGAACCAATGTCTCACACTATTTTAATTACTACTAATGTCTGATATTGTCTGCACACCGCATTTTTCTTCAGGAGTGGGATGGTTATTCTTTCATATATACTTAACAATAGTTTGAGCAGACCCCACAGGTAGCCCAGTGGTAAAGAATCTGCCTGTCAATACAGGAGATGCAAGAGACACAAGTTTGATCCCTGGGTCAAGAAGATCCCCTGGAGTAGGAAACAGCAACCCACTTTAGTATTCTTGCCTGGAAAATCCCAGGGACAGAGGAACTTGGTGGGCTACAGTCCATGGGTTTGCAAATGAGTTGGACACGACTGAACACACATGCACAGAAATATCTTTTTTTTAAAGTATTTTTAAGAATTGTATTAAATCTACAGATCAATTTGGGGCTTTTTGACCTTTTTTTCATGTGGAGTCTAACAATCTGTTAGTATGGTAAATCTTTCCATTGATTAGCATATTCTTTAACACTTTCCAATAAAAGTTTTTAAATTTTATTCACAGGAAATTTGCACAATATTTTTAGAAAATTTATTTCAAGGCTGTTTGTATTTTAGTTGCTGCTGTAAGTCACTTTTTAAATTAGACTTTTAATTTTTCTGACTGTTTACTATGTAGAAATGCAATTGACATAATACATATACACAGATTTTCTATAAACAACTTTGCTAAACTCTCTTATTACTTTTAATAATTTGCCTGAAGATTCTCTTGGTTTTCCACCCAGACAATCATACTGACTACAAACAATGGTTTGTTACCTCCTTTATAACCCTATACCTTTATTTCTTCTTTTTTGACTTACTGAACTTATAAGAAAGCTGGTCTATTGTTGAATAGAGCAAGTAGCTTTGTCTTGTTCTGGGGTGCTGATTCAAAGATGAATTCAGTTTGCAAAAAGTTATCAAGCTGTGGGCTTATAATTTGTGCATTTTTTTTTCTAACACTATGTTAAGTTGTTGCTCTCTACTAAGTCATCTCTGATTCTTATTCGACTCCATAGACTGTAGCCTGCCAGGCTTCTCTGTCCATGGGATTTCTCAGGCAAGAACACTGGACTGGGTTGCCATTTCCTTCTCCGGGGGATCTTCTCAACCCAGGGATCAAACCCACCTCTCCTCTACTGGCAGGCGGATTTTTAACCATTGAGACACCAGACAAGTCCAATTCTATGTTATATGCTTCAATAAAAAGTTAAAAAAAAAAAAACAACGAAGGAATATTTTTCCCAACATCCTAACCTGTCCTCATAACTGTATGCTCTAAGGATGCCACTGAGCAGGTTTGTACCTGTCTATTGCAAACTGACCATACATTACCAGAGAAAAGGAGTCTTAGGGGAGGACAGGGGAGGTGTTTTTTTCCTGCTTTAGAACTAGAGGGAGGGGGCACAGCAGACCCTGAGGGCAGAATGGGGAGGGGAGGTAGAAATGCAGGGACAGATTTCCACAAAATGGAAGGAAAAGCTTTCTAACAGCGGTGTTGTCGAAACCAAACGAGGGCTGCTTTTTGGAAAATGAGCTCCCCAGCTCTGGAGGTATTCAAGCGAGGCTGACTACACAGCTAACGAGAGCGGCCACCTCCTCCCCCTAATACTGGGTGAGCTGTGGACCACTCTTCCAACTCCAAACTTTTGAGATTTTTAAAAGAATTGAGTTCTTTTTTTTTTTTTCATTTCTTATCCTATTTTGAGGCCATGCTCTATCAATACCTCTCACAAAACTTAAAATACTGATGTTACACAAGAGATAAGTCAACAGAGGCAAAACTGATTCTTTGAAAATGTTAATAATACTGTTGATAAACCCATCTAGTCTGATCACACACAAAAGACAGATAACATCAGAATTCCTTTCTTCCAAAGAGATACCCAGTAAATATAAGAATAGGTGTGCATCCAACATGGTCAAATAAAGGTGTGATTAAACCTGTCATGCTCCACCTTAACCCCCTAAGTATTGAAATACATTTTGAGATTTCTTGCCTTAGATCCTGTCATTCTACATTGTTTTCAAATAATAGACAGAGTGGATCAGATACTAGGTGATTTGAAATCCAGTGAAAGAAAAAAGAAAAAAAAAAAACCTCTGTTAATGGGTTTTTTGTTTTCTGTGTGTGTGTGTTTTGTAAAATAAGGACATTTGAAAAGAGTGAAGTTTTTAAGGTTTTTATGAGATGGGGCATACTTCCATGATCTCACAGTTTTACTCTATTTTTACTTTCATTCAACCAAGCGTCTTCTTTCTAACCAGGCTCCAGTTTGTTGGCAGATAAAAATACACTCGCAGAGGCTCCCAGAAGCTGCGCCATCGGCCTCGGACGAGAAAGAAGCCTGGTCTCCTCGTGCCGCTCTGGAGAAGTCTTCCTCTTCCTCCCCCGGGTTCCCTCCTCTCCACGTTTTTTTCCTTCTGCGTTGATCGTTCGCAGAGAAAATCTGGGGTCCAGACAGGAAAGAGCCCGAGAGGGGTAGCCCTTGAGGGCAATCCCGGAGGCGGGGCGCGTCTGTCCCCCGCAGTCGGGGCTGAGCTGCGCCCCTCTGCGAGCACCCGGAGTGTTGCCGCCGAGCCGAGAAATCCGTTACCAGGCTGCCGTGTCCCCAAGGGCCATTCCAGGGCGGAAGAGGACGGGGAAAACCGCTGTGTTGATTCTCCCGCCCTGTGGGCAGGTCGCGCTGCAGGTCAGGTTACAGACAGGTGAGTCGGGCGGTTGGGCGAGCGGTTGGCGCCGGGGCACCCCGAGCCGGCCGCGCCCCCGCAGCACCCGGAGCTGGCACACGTCTGATCCCCAGGAAGGGGGGTGACCCCGCGACCGTGGAGGTGGTGCCCCGCATCCCTGGGCACATCCGAGCAGGGGCTTGGGACCGGCGGCGGGCCCTCTATCCCCCAAAGCGGGTACAGCTGCTCTTAGAAACTTGGCATCTTTTTCTTACCAACTCCCCTTCCTTCTCTCCCCTCCCCCCCATTCCTGGCCCTCCAGGTATAAAGGTAGATTAAAAAAACAAAAACAAAAAACTCACACAAAACAAACCCAAACCCCAAACCTAAAATAAACCCTAAGCTATCCAGCCAAGCTCCCAGTAGGGGCGGTAAGGGAAGGTAAACCCTTCTTGACTGGCTTCCTGAAAAGTATTTCCCAGCCTCAGAATTTGGGGAACAAATGGTTGGGGGAGGCAATCATGGGAGTGCGCGAGGATAAGAAAATTGTTTTGAAGCTGCGTTTGCATAACTAGCACTTGGCTTTTTTTCCAGAGTGTTTATTTAGGGGTGAGAAGGTTCGCGGGATGGAAGGGGCTTGGGGTGGAAGCAAACGGACTGGTTTTTCTTAGATTGTATGGCACAAAATAACGTGTTCTAAAGATGCTGAATTAAAAAAAAAAATTTTTTTTTAAAAACTGTGTTTACTGGGGGGAGGGGAGCTGTTGTAGATGAAGGGGAACAGAAGGCCCGGAGTTCCCTCTTTGCCGGATCAGAATCCCGGGCGTCTCCCCGCGGCCTCCACACAACTGAGACTTCAACAAACCCAGGAATGATCCACAAGGTCCAGAGGAGCTGAGCCATTTTCTGGCTTGCTCGTCGGAGACGAATCCACGGGTGGGGGCCGGGGTGCGGGCACTAGCGGGAGGCCCCAGCTCTGAGGAGCAATGCCCAGGGAAGCGCGTGCCGGGTTTCGTTCCAGGAGATCGCCCTGAAGTGCCTGTGATGCGGCATGGGGCAGGGGGTTCAGAGAGAAGCGTCCTTCCCTTCTTACAAAGGGGAGGGGGGAGAATCAGACGTTAAATTCTTTTGCAAACATTCATGCCTAAGGAAGGGCTGGAACAGGCAGCCCCGGCCGCCGGAACCGGTCGGACAGGTAGCGAGCTTGTTGACACCGTTATGTTGCAGGGCGCATGCTCACTCCCAAGTTTCCTGGTGCCTTTTCTATTCCACCTTATGAAACTTTTTTCCTCGGCGTGGTCTCACCCGCGATTTCAGGCAGAGGTGTCGCGGAGCCCGGAGGCTGGGAGTCTCCCGGCGTGCGGGGGAGAGGCCCGGCCGCGCGGCGGCGGTGGGGGGCGGAGGGAGGGGGCAGGCGGGGCGGGAAGGTGGGCTCCGGCCGCGGGGAGCCGGGGACCAAGCCGCCGCCGCCGCCGCCTTTAGCGGGGAGCAACCGGGACTAGGGGCCCGCAGTCCGGGGAGAGGGCCCCCACGATGCCCAAAGTCTTCCTGGTGAAGAGGAGGAGCCCGGGGGTCTCGGTCCGCAGCTGGGATGAGCTCCCGGACGAGGAGAGGGCAGACACCTACATCCCAGGTGAGCGCCGCGCGGGGGCCGGGCCTGGGCGCCAGGTTCATGGGGTGGGGGCAGGGGTGGCCGGGTCCCCTCTGCTCCACGACCCGGGCTGGACTCCCTCCGTCTCCCATGCCCCTCCTTCGGGGGAGGGGGGAGGAAGTTACCTGGGCACGAGAGGACTGAGAGTGAGAGGCTGGGAACCCGCGACGCCCTGCACCCCCTCCCCCCTAGTGGGCGCCTCTAATTGCCCGGCGGCGGGACCGTTGGCTGCGGCGGGCGGAGGTGGCCCAGGAGGGGGACTGGGGGCCAGGAAGGGGCAACCTCAATCCCACGTCCTCGTGGGGTTGCACAGGGATGGGTCAATCTCTCCGGGGCCAGGTGGCTCGAGATCGGGTCCCCCATCAGCGTCCCAGGGAGTGGAAATTTGGCGCGCGGTGTCCCCAGCCGCGCGTGGCCCTCCGTACCTCGTGGGCACGGGAACTGGGAACGAAGAGCGGAGGCCCCCCCCACCCGGACCCCGAGCTTGCTCGGGAGCCCGAGTCGGGGGCTCGCTCGCCCACCCCCGCGGCGTTGCCCACTTGGCGAGGTGCCCAGGTCCGGGGAGGGGCGGCGGCGGCGGCACCGCCCGCAGGTCAAACTGCCGCGGGCGCCCGGGCCTGACGCCGCGTGTCTGTGTGTCGGGGTGCGGCCCTCGCTCCGCAGTGGGCCTGGGCCGTCTGCTCCACGATCCCCCCGAGGACTGCCGCAGCGACGGCGGCAGTAGCACCGGCGGCGGCAGCAGCAGCGCGGGGGAGCCCGGAGGCGCAGAGAGCAGCTCGTCCCCGCGCGGCCCGGAGCGCGAAACCCCAGAGCCCGGCGACGGCGAGGGCCCTGATGGACACCTGGCGGCGAAGCAGCGCCCGGTCGCCAGGTCGAAAATCAAGGTACGGAGTCGACTCTGCCCCCGCCGCCACCTGCACCACGCCCTGGCGTCGGGCTCCCGGGGCCGGCGCCCCTCCCTGGCGCGCCCCGGCACTGGTGCACCCTGCGCGCTGGCTGCGCCGCTCCTGCACCTGCCCTTGGGCCGCGGCCAGGGCGCCTCCGCGTGTCCTCCTGCCTGCGGGCTAGCTGGCCGCTACGCCCGTAAGACCCGCTCCCCGCATGGGCACAGCCCTCCCGCGTGGCCTCTGGAGCTGCCCAAAGCGCTCAGACACAGCCTCCTTCCCCCATTCTGTGCATAGCGCCTGAAGCACAACCAGGCCGTTGGCGTTCCGGGGGTGGGAAAGGAGAGGCCCCAGGTCCAGGGATCCCCTCCTTTGGGGCGCAGTTCCCAGCGCTGTTTGAACTCGAAGGGAATTTCTCCTCGTTCCTTGCGTTCCGGAGACAGTCGTGGGAGCTTGGCACGCAGTAGGTCTTTCACAGTAACAACTATTCCCAGTGCCAATTATGAAGTGCCCGTTAGACACGAGGTCTGTGCCGGGCACTTTTAAACTGGTGTTTATCAAATCTTGAATCATTTGGACGGATAATCGGATTCAACTGCAAATTGTCCCATGGCCCCGCCCGCAGTGGCTTGCAGTGTTTGTTTCCCTCTGTTCTCCGCGCTTCGGTCCCCAACCCCCACCCAGCCTCTTGGAATTGTAGGCCACAGTTTATCACGACGCCCATCTGCGCTTTCCTGGGTGGAACCTCCAAGATTGCCTGCTCAAAGGTATCCGCTACCTCCAAGATTAAGTCCCATTCCACTGACTCACAGCCAGCCGGAGCCAGGGAGTGGTGTTTTTACGAATCATATGACCCCAGCTTCTAGCCAGGTGGGCCTTAATGCGAACCTTTGCGGGCTCCAGTCCCTTGGTGTAGGTGTTAATTCTTGGGCGCTCCTGGGCGGTCCCAAAGCGCCCCCTGCCCCGGCCGGGGGATGGGGAGGAAGCCCTAGAACACTGCGGATTGGGAAAACTTCCGTTACTTTTGGTGGGAGGTGTCTTCCCTCCCCCCGTGCATATTCCTGGCTCCTGGGGCTTAGCTCTGGGATGGGCTGGAGTGATTTGGTTATGAATTGAGGCTAGATGCTTGAGTTGGGAATCCTTAGGAAAGACAGCTTTAAAGGAAACTGCCGACTGGTGTGGGCATCCTGCTCGGAAAGGTTCAAAGTCAGATGGTGGGATGCTTTTCTGGGCCTCGTGGGGTTAAGTGGGAGGGACAGTTTGCCTGAGGCTGCTACCTCTGCCCTCCAGGAAATTCTACAAAGTGTCTCACTTGCATATTTATCACCCGGCTGGAAAAACAATTGAAACGTTGTTTTGAGGATGGTACTAGCTAGTTTAAACCTCAATCCCCCAACTGCCCACATTGCCCTGGAAAGAAAGTGGCAGGGGAAAAATATCCAGTCCCTTAACCACCATTTTAGGAGATCTGTGATGCCCCGGGCCAACAGCTTCACTGGGGCCCTGGATTAAGGGAATGAAGAAATCTATCTTATTACAGGATCTCTGTCTTGGTGCTGCCCCCAGGGGTGGGGGTGGAGTGTAGAGTTTGCTCCTCAACCTTTAACTAAATTTCCAGAGGAGCTTTTGTTTGTTTACTGAGGCTGAAGTTCAGGTTCCTTCTCTCTGCTTCCATCTGAAAATAGGAGACATCTTGGTGTCAAGATGCTCCAAGATTATAGAATTATCAGCCATATTATAGTCCATTTTCAAATGACTGGTCAAACCGCCCTTGACTTTGCACCTGGTGTAACTTTAGAGTTCTGCGCAAAGTACAATGAACTGTCTAAAAGGGGGAAGCCACTGGAGCAAGATGTATTTTTTCAATGACTGGAAGGCACTCATTAAACAGTTGGTTCTTAGAACCGGAGAAGGGCAGAGAGAAGCTCCATCCACAGCATTTAGTGCCTGCAAGGCAGCCAGTAGATAAAGTTGTGCCACCCTTGTGTTTCAGAACCATCTGACAGTAATGGTTAGGGTTCTACGCTCTGGCTTTTGCAAGCTGCTAAACCTTCCAGGCTTGTTTCCTCATCTGCAAACTGGAAGTGTTAATAGTAATGACATTTGCCTCACAGAGTCGTGAGGATAAATGAGTCAAGCAGAAAGCATGGTAGGTGCCCAGTGACTCCAGCTAGGATTCTTTGGGTTGGTGGAGAGACACAAATACTATATTAATTATTAACACTATTACAGGAAAGTGAATGCTCAACCAGAAGCATGAGGCAAGATGCAATTCTGAGCAGAGGGAGGTTTCTCGGTATGGATTCGAGGGCAGTGAGAGAGTGTGAAGAGGCAGGCTTTAGGACTGAGCCTGAAGCTTGAATAAGAACAGGACTCAGAGCTGAAGGGAGGATGGGAAACGGGCCTGGGATCAGGGAGAGTCAGGGTGAGGAGCTGGAAATATAGCTGGGATAGGGTGAGATGGTAAAGGGGCCAAGCCGTGAAGTGTGGATGCTCCTGTGGGGGCAGATGAGGGGCCCTGGGAGAAGGAGAACCTCATTTGGGTCCATCTCACTAGCTGCGCTTGGGAATACGTTATCTGTTCTAAGCCTCAGTTCCCTGATCTGTAAAATGGAGAAATAATAGAATGGGCCTCTCAAGCATTGGGGTAGACAGTGGATACAAAATGCTGAGTGATTTTCTTAGTGTATAAACTGCCCAGTGGGGAGTTAGCCGATAGTGACCTGTGGCAGGTTTTGTTAACGTCCAATATTTTGTTGCCCCCAGCAAGGACAAGGGATTTACCAACTGGTTTGGCTGGATTTAAGTATTATTTGAAAAAAACCCACCCGTTTGATGTTTGGAAGGCAACATAAGCCTCATCCCTAACTCCTTGCCTGTTGACTTCAGTCTCCCAAGACAGAATTGGAAGCTCCAATTACCCCACCAACCTTGTAACTAACCATCTCCTTGGCTGACCAGACTCCTCTTCTTGACTCTAGAGCCACCAAAGGCAGGGAACGTTCCTAGTGGGCTCATATTTGCAGCAGCTGGTACAGTAATGCCTGACTCATAGGAGGACGTACGTCAACATGGAAGAGAAATACAGGCAGGGAAGGAGGAGTCAACAGTCCCTAGACATAAGTGACAGCATTTGGGGAAAAACAGGAAGGAAAAAGGGGAAAATGCTTGGACTGGATACTTGAAAAAGCTTAAATTAATTTAAAGGGGGAAAAGGAGAAATAGAACAATGTGTGAGCTGCAGATGATGGTTAATTACGGGGCATTAAATGGGGTAAGTCTTTCCTGGTGGCTCAGATGGTAAAGAATTTGCCTGCAATGCAGGAGACCTGGGTTTGATCCCTGGGTCAGGAAGATCCCCTGGAGAAGGAAATGGCACCCCACTCCAGTATCCTTGCCTGGAGAATTCCATGGACAGAGGAGCCTGGCGGGTTATAGTCTATGGGGTTGCAAAGAGTCGGACACAACTGAGCAACTAACACTTCCTTTCAAACTGGGATAAAGAGAGATCAGGCTGAGCTCCCAGGAGTGACTCCCAGAGCCACATTGCAGAACTGGGCTGCCTAGGGAGCTGCTGCGGTGGCCGCTATGGCTGCTGTTTGCCCATCATGATGCTTCTGCTAATGCAGGGTGTGAAACAATTGCTGCATACTTGCCTCGGCTCAATTAACTCAGGCCCGCCTGAAGTCAAATCTCCAACAATGCATGTAACTGGTGGAACCCAGGTCACATCTAAAGACCACAGCTGTGAGGGATTCTGGGAAATGTTGTGTCATGCTTTCTAGCCTCTCCTATGCAGGATGAACCACCCCAGAACAGGGACAGAGGCTGAGCCTGTCCATTCACAGGATCTACTCAGGGACCCAGATGTGGTCCAGTCTCCTCATACTTATGGGGAGAAAGATAAAGCCAGAGAGGTTGTTTTGAGTTCCTCACAGGTGCTAGTGGCAAAGCCCAAACTAAGGCTCCTTACTCCTTAGTGTATTGTGCTGTCGTTGTAGTGTTGTTGTGTAGTTATGCTGTTGTGCTACCACCTTAGCCACTAGTGTGACATGAGGGAACCTGAAGCAGTTTCTACCACATGACAGGAGACAGAGCACAGGGTTATCCCTCCCTCTCCCACACATCGTGCCCAGACCCATGGGCCTGTCCCTGGGAGGTGTCGGCACACATTTTGCAGACTACAAGCCCCATCAAAATGTCAGTGTGCGCACCTGCAAGTGTTTTAGCCCTGGTTTCTTCTGGATGATAAGGATATGTTCCCTTCAGCATCTCTTCATTTGGGAAGACTGCATTCTGCCATGTAGTGGAATTATGATGCTTAAGGATGCAGGAGAGGTATTTTTATCCCAAAGAAATTGGGGAATTACACTTAGCACGTTTTGAGCACTCAGACCTAAGCAGATGTGTCAGTGGTAATCTTGTCCACGTAGCCCTGGAAGGTAGCCTAGACCCACAATAGCCTACTGCAGGAAATAGGTCCATTAATTTAAGGAACTTGTGTGGTGGAAGCATCCACAGAAAATAAAGGATTTTTTTTTTCCTTTAGAAGTTGACAGGTAGGTGACCTTAGCCAGCTTTGAAGTTGGTCAGAGGGCCAGCCCAAGTCCCCACCTCCCTGGACGCTCCTGAAGTCTTCTGTAGCTCCGATACAATGATGGGTTTGTTCTGCTGCAGAGGACTGTTTTTCAGAAGAACTAGAGGGGAATTTTATGTGTATTTTAAATGAAAGCCGAGATCCTGAAGAAAACAGGACAGCAAATAAGAAAGCGCCAAGCTGCAGGGTTGGAGAATTAACTGTCTCTCTTCATCTTTCGGCCCTGAATTAATTGCCAATTAGTTAATGAATCTCCAGACTGATGTAACCTCCCACCCTCCATGGTAGCTTCCCCACTTGAGTGCTGAGCCTTTTGGAGAGTTAATTTTGGATTAAGGGTGAGACTATTAAACTTTTTCAGAAGATGACACAGTATCTGGAGCAGTACCCTGTAATTGCACACATTAATAATTTCTATATCAAAGCATGAGTATTGACACCAAACGGTAGCTTCTGGTTTTGTTGCCAATGGAGATAAGAGAATGTTGGTTTTCAGAACTTTTTCGATTTTGGAGTTGCAGATGAAGGACTAGGGGCTAGTGACCCACACTGAAGGTTAGTTTCCTTTTTCTTTCATCAGTGAGAGGAAAACTCAAAAGACAGGTGGAGAAACGAGGTTTTGACCAATTACATTTTATTTAGGATCACAGGATGCTGGAACTTGTCAAACTCTAAGAGTTAGGATTTACGGAGCAATCAGTATTCCTTAACAATCCCAAGAGGCAAGTATTGTTATTGCCCACATTTTATGGGGAGAGGGGTGTGAAATTACCCTTAGAGAGGGTGAGTAACTTGCCTACTTCCCAGACTGAGTGGTAGAGCAAGATTTGAATTTAAGAAAAGAGCTCATCTAATCGCATTTGGGGCTTCCCCCCGTGTCTCAGTGGTAAAGAATCCGCCTGCAGTGCAGGAGTCCCAGGAGACAGGGGTTCGATCCCTAGGTCAGGATGACTCCCCCCCAGAAGAGGGCATGGCAACCTACTCCAGTATTCTTGCCTGGAGAATCCCATGGACAGAGGAGCCAGGAGGGCTACAGTCCATGGGGATGCAAAGAGCTGGACACGACTGAAGTGACTTAGCACACACACATATGGTGATCTTAAGAGAATGTGATACATCTATTACCATTCCAGTGATCTGCTGCTGCTTCACAGATAACCCCAGATTTAGTAGCTTGGTATAATGTGTTACAGTATCTTCTAGTTCTGTGGCTCAGACTGTGCTCAGTGGGGTGGGTTTTGCCTGGGGTTTCTCTTTCGGGTGTAGTCGGGTGCCAGTTGGACTGGAGTCTCCTGGGCTGGATATCCAGGAGGGCTTACTCAGGTGGCTGGTAGTCAGTCTTCTGTCTTTTTTTCTAGCTGCTTTCATTATATGATCCTACCATCTTTTTTTAAATTTTGTAACAAGTCCCTATTGACGGACATGTAGGTAGTTTTCCAGCCTTTTGCTATCACAGACCAAATTTCCAGGCATATGTGAAGTGCACTCTGTGGGATAAATTTCATCTTTAGAAATTTATCCTCCAAATGTTTTTCTGTAGAATTCTTGGGAATTTCTCCTTTTTTTAAAAAAAATTGATGTATAGTTGATTTACAATATTGTGTTAGTTTTACAGGTATGGCAAAAACATTCCATTATACATATATATGTGTGTGTGTATATATATATATATATATATATATATATATATATATTTTCCTCATTCTTTTCCTTTATAGTTACTACAAGATATTGAATATAGTTCCCTGGGCTATAGAGTAAATCCTTGTTGGTTATCTATTTTATATATAGTAGTGTGTATTTGTTAATCCCATACTCCTAATTTATCCCTCCTCCCCTCCTTCTTTCCCCTTTGGTAACTATGTTTGTTTTCTATATCTGTGAGTCTGTTTCTGTTTCATAAATAAGTTAATTTGTATTATTTTTTAGATTCTACATATAAGTGATATCATATAGTATTTATCTTTCTCTGACTTCACTTGTATGATCATCTCTAGTTTTGTCTATGTTGCCACCAATGGCAATATTTCATTCTTTCTTATGGCTGACTAATAAGGCATCTCTCTTTTGTTTCTGATGAAGGAATTTTTCCTTCTCTTTTGTCATTAAAAAAATTTTTTTCTTGGCCGTTCAGCACATGGGATCTGATTTCCCAACCAGGGATTGAACGTGTACCCCCTGCATTGGAGCTCAGAGTCTTAACCACTGAACCACCAGGAAAATCCTGTGCTTTCTTTCTGACAAGTGAACTAGTTTGGCAGAAGCTGGCTTTATCAGCCATGATCTTTTGCCTTTGATTAACCCTACATCTTTCAAAGAGAGACTCTCTTCAGAGGCTCTGGATACAATTCATCAGTGTCTGGGGCTGGACTGCTCAGGACACAATTACAGGCAGCAAATGGTCCTTTCTGGGGATTCTCTGGATAAACATTTAGCAGTGACTCTGTTTTCCACATTGTGAAATGGGGATGTGCATAAACGTGGAGAAATGGGAACCCTGCCTTCACTGAGGCTCAGGGGAGAACTTTTCCTTTTGCTCTGGGAAGACCAGAGGGAAGTTCCCTGAGAATGGGGTGCCCTCCCTCTGCAGTCCCCTCACTCCTCTTTGCTACCCAAGGTTAGAAAGCTGTCAATATCTTGCTCAGATGGCCTGCTGGCCCTGCACCGCCTTCAGTGGTTACTTACCCCCTCCCCTCTGCCCTCAGCATTTTCTTCTTTTCAAACTAAAAAGTGTCACTGATATCAGATTTCCACCCTAGACAGTCATAGGAGGTATCTATGTTGCACGCAGAGCATTTTAAAAATAGGAATTTACTGAGAGGATTAAAGTAAATAAGAGTCCAGTTTGGAACTGTGATCGGCATGATCTCCGGGCACGTTGATGCAGGGCTTTCAGAAGACAGCTCTCCGTTTCTTCACGTTTCTAATCAGAATGACCAGGGTCATTTGCCTGTGTTCTATTTTATTAGCTGTGCGACCTCTCAAATGACCTTCTTCCTGTGTAGACTTGGCTTTGAGAAGCTCCAGGTACCCTTTGCCAAGATTTGGGCTATATTTAGTCTTTCTCACATCCCTTCAATGGAGGCAGTGACCAGAATGGGGACTTGGGCACTGTGGACAAGGGGGAGACCATGACCTGTCCTGGTGGCGGGAGAGCCTTGGGCACGGTGGCTCTGTCACGTCCCACCACTTCAGCGGACACAGGGCAGAGGTGGGGTATGAGGCAGGAAGGTCTTTAGTCTCGAGCCCCGTGGTCCTCTTATATCTTCTAGTGTGCCCCACCTCCCACCGTCCTCTGCCAGTCCAGTTCATTGGGGATCCCAGGTAGAGCCCTGCCCTTCTCCGCTTCTCTGGTTCCTCGGCTCTCTTCATCAGCTGCTCTCCAGGGCTCAGGCTAGCCAAAACGGACCCCACGCAGCTCCTATTTCCCAGCCCTCTCCTGAATCTTCTTTGCCCTTCCCCCATCTTCTTCCCCCTCTTTGGCTGAGACACTCACTTCCCGAGAAGCATGTTTCCTTGCACCAGGGCCCCCCTGTCCAGGGTTAGGTGCCCCTCTGAGCAGCCTCTTGCACCCTGGACTTCCCAGATGGCAGTGGCTTGTGCCTAGGCCTGTGCCTAGACCAGCCGCTTCTTGGGGACAAGCCATCCTGATGACGGGGCACCCTCCAGCTCGGAGCACAGGCTCTGTCTGGGATTAGGCACACATTAATGTCGGCTGAGACTAAGATGGAGCAATTGAGAATGAACTGCTGGAGGGGGCCTGCTGAAAAGCCCTGCTCTGGGGTCTTCACCTTCTGCTACCTGTGACTCGTTGTCCAGCAACTCTTTCTGACCTGCACGGTGCAGGGCTGCCATCTAGGCTTGGGGCATGGGGGTTGGAACCTGCACAAACACTTGCTGTCTTCCACCAGGTGTTTAGTTGAGGAAGACAGGTGAACCCTGAGGAAATGTTTCTGTGTGATGGAAGCTTCTAGAATGAGTTGTAATAAAGTGCTAAACCATCTGAAGGCCAGTCCTTCATGTCTCAAGTGTGGTCCATGGACTGCACCATGGCGTCTCCCGGGAGCTGGCTAGAAATGCAGCATTCAGACCCCAGCAGACCTCCTGAATCAGAAGTTGCATTTTAACAAGACCCCCAGAAGATTTGTGTGCACACTGGGGATTGAGGGGCTCTGGGATTAGGGGTACCGGGACCAGTTTGGGCAGGCACTGCAGAGCCTGGAGAAGCTTATCTGGGACGGAACAGGTGAGCTGGGCTTGGTGGAGGTGGTACCTCGGGTGGATGAAAGGAGGATGTTTGAGACTTGGAAGGTGTTAAGCCAGGAAGGGACCAACTCTTCTTGCGAATGACACTTGTCTAAAACAAGTTTTTTAGGTTCTTTTATGAATAGAATTTTGGCAGAACGATTGGCTCCATCTTCTAAAGGATCTAGGAAACCTTTGATGAACATAACAGATCTGGTGTTTTTCATCACATAGTTAGAGATTCTGTTTTCTTCCTTTGAGGCAGCAAATGCAGTTGAGAGAGTGGAGCGGACTGTTCAGAACCTGGGATTTGATTATGGTTTTTCTGGTAATGAAGCCATGGGATCCTGACCAAGTCCCTTCGGAAGCCAACTGTCATTTGTTCATGATTCTGGGTCAGGAGCTGGGGCTAGGCAGTTCTCCTCTGGGCCGGTTTGTGACTCAGCTGGTGGTAGTCCTGGGTGGGCTGGAAGGTCCAGTGGCCCCTTATCCACATCTGGCACCTCACTGCTCCTCCGCCGAGCTGCTTGGGCTTCCTCACAGCATGGGGTGCTCTGGCTTCTTGGTGGCCTCTGGCTTCCAAGAGGGAGGAGGGAGAAAAGGCGCTGCTAGGTCTCTTAAGATCTGGAAGTGACACAGGCTCTGCCAGATCCAGGGAGCGAGGAGACAGTCTCTTTTGATGGATTCAACCTCAGTGCAGGCCGGGAAGGAAGAAATTGACTGTGGCTGTCTCTGGGGCTCTGGGATGTTATCAGACCTACACTCCTCTCTTCTTTCTCCCTTCCATCTTCAGCACTGGCTTCCCCCTCAGGGTATGAGGTGGCAGCTTGAGCTCTAGCAAGCAGGAAGGACTAAGGCCAGGAAGGGCACCATCCTCCTCCTCCCAGAGAGTGTATCTTCCTAGGCTGGTGGTCCCACCCCAACTTGCTGGGGGCGGGGCGCCGCTGGAAATCCAGATCATGGATGTAGGGGGAGCTTTCCTGTTCCACTTCGCTGCCCAAAGCCTACACCTGTTGGGAATTTTTAGTAGGGGGCGGGGCAGCCCAAGCCAGGGCCAACCCCTCCCCTACCCCCCGCCCCCCCAACCCAGTGCTGGACCTCACGCCCCTCTCTGCCCCAGTTCACCACAGGCACCTGCGGCGATGCGGCCCTGCATACCTGCGACCTGTGCGGCAAGGCCTTCCGTCTGCAGCGCATGCTCAACCGGCACCTCAAGTGCCACAGCCAGGTGAAGAGGCACCTGTGCAGCTTCTGTGGCAAGGGCTTCAACGACACCTTCGACCTCAAGCGGCATGTGCGCACGCACACAGGTGAGGGGGCGCGGCACGAGCTCCTGCGCCAAGCAGGAGGGAGCCCTGAGCAGAGCTGTGTTTCTAGAAGGATCGCGGGGTGGGTGTGAGGGGGGCGGAGGGAGGGCCATTTGGAGGCAGGCCGCCTGCCAGCAGTGCCCCTGGGGCCCGCGACCACCCCCCTCTCTCAGCCTGGTCTCGCCTCCAGTGAGATGCGATTGGAGGCAGGTCACTGGTTGGGAGTGCCCTGGGATGCCCACACGGAGCATCTGGGCGTCAGGTGCAACCATCGGGCCGGGCTGATGCTGGAACGCGGTTCCTGTGGTCCCTCTGCAGATATTTTGTGCTTCTCTCTCGGGAAGTGAGCCTGTCTCAAAATAGCATCACGTTGGTTCCTCCTGGGAGCTCAGAAAGAGAAGAAAACACTCAGCGGACTTAGCGCTCTCCAAGCCTTCTGCGGGGGTGGGGAGGAAGGGTCGGGGCGCGGGAGGTCAGGCGGGCGGGCAAGTGCCTGCCCCCTCAGCCTTCTGCAGTGCCCCCTTCATGCGCAGCGGGGCTGAGTCCCCACCAGCTCCTTCCACAGACAGCCCTGGGGGTGCCGGCTCGCTGCTCTGCCGGCATCTCTGATTGCTGGTAGCCTCGCTAGTTTTGTGTAGGAGATGTCTGGTCTGCAGGCTTCTCCTTGAGGGCCACACCTTTGCCAGAGAGATCCCTTGAGAATTCTAAGATGCCATTTCCCAGCTTTAAAAAAAAAATTCTTCAACTCTGGGCAGGATGAAATCCAGTCTCCATCTTGATGGGCTCCATATAAAGCCCCTGTCGGTCTGGCTCCCATCTTCAAATCTGCCTCCTGTTCCAAGCCCCTCCGAACCCTCAACACACCCCACTGGGCTCCATCCTCTCATCCCATCCTGACCAGTCTTATGCTGGTCCCTCTCTCCCTACAATCCCTAGAATTTGTTATCTATAGTCCTGCTGACCCCTCAGGCCCTTTCAGGGTTTAGGGTTTCCCCTCCACCACCACCCCCCACACCTGGCATTTTGAAGGTGGGAAAATGTCCACTCCTCTCTCTCAGTGGGGCTCTCAGCTCCCCAAGCCCCACATAGGGCCCTTCTCGGATCTTTGCTATTGAGATTTCCTTTATAGACTCTGTCACACATATTGTTCTTAGGGTACTAGCCATGAGCTCCTTCCTGGCCTCAGAAGGGTATCCTTCACCCCAAAGAGTGGTCTGACATGCTAAAAGGTTTTTCTTTTTTCCTTTAAAAAAAAACTTTGCTAAAGTGAAATTTTCATTTAAATGTAACAATGCATCCAGAAAAGCACACATGTCATAAGCACACAGTTTGATAATGTAGGAGTTTCTACAGAGTGAACACACCCATCTAACCAGCGGGAGTATTGACAGACCCTGTAAGTCACTGCGCTGCCCCGCACCCCCTCTGGTCACTGTCACCTTACCTCCGAGAGGCACTGTTAGCCTGACTTCTGGCAGCATCACTGACTGTTGTCTGGCTTTGAATGTGATGAAAGTAGAATCAGTAGCGGATGCTCTCTGGGGTCTGGCTTTAATGCTTTCATTTCAGTCCTGAACATGAGAAAACCTGTAAAAGTTTGACCTCTGTGTGGCCAGGCTGACACCTTGGGTTGAAGTAGGAAGAATGCTTAGGGAGTGGCTGGTGGTAGGGTAATTATGGAGGGTCCTAAATAGGGTGATGTAGGTGGTAGATGTCCTCTGAGTGGTAGATGGTCCTATGAAAGGTGGAGGGGTTCTGTGGTTGGTGGGGCAGCCCCAGCTATCAATGAATCCAACAAGTGGCTACAAAGCTGGTCTAATAGGCAACTAACCCAAAGGGTTGAGAAACTGGGGATCAGTTGCCTAGTCATTTGTCGTTGGTTGTCCTGGAGAATTCCTCAGCTTTGCATCTTTTTCTGAGGATGTCGTTGAGGGCATGGCCTATTTCTTCTGCAGCTCCTTGCCTGATGGGTTCTCTGGCCACTCCCTGATCCTGGATCCTGGCCTTTAAGACAAAGTGAAGGGGGCTCGGGGAGCATTGTGGGCTGCTGGTATGGTCAGGTGGAGTAAACACGGAGCTGCCTCGTCTGTGACTGAGTTAATTCTCCATTAGTGGAAATATGAGGGACTGACCACTCTCAGGAAAGAGTTTGCAAATTGAATCAGTCACATAGTGGTTAAGAAATCCAGATCTGAGCTAGCTGTCTGTGCAGGCTTGTCCAAATTACTTTTTTTTTTTGCTTTAGTTTGTCCATCTCTAAAGTAGGCGTGGGGTTTTAATACCTATCACCTAAGTGATGGCTGTGAGATTTCAGGGCAATAATGGTGTATAAAGTGCTTTGCACTCTGTAAGCACTTAGTTCAGTTCAGTTCAGTCGCTCAGTCGTGTCTGACTCTTTGCGACCCCATGAATCACAGCACACCAGGCCTCCCTGTCCATCACCAACTCCCGGAGTTTACCTAAACTCATGTCCATCGAGTCGGTGATACCATCCAGCCGTCTCATCCTCTGTTGTCCCCTTTTCCTCCTGCCCCCGACCCCCAAGCATTTAGTAAATATGAGCTATTAGAGGTGGTGAATGTTGAAATAGTTGGCAGAGTTTTCCTGAGGCCTGAAGACTCACCTCTGTGCTTCCAGAGACCTCAGCCCACATAGAAAGAACCCAAACCCTAGACTCCCCAAGAAAGCCAGAGGGTGTGCCAGAAAGAAGAAAAAGTGGCATCAGGGAGGCTTCTCGGAGGAGGTGTCCTCTTGGTTGAGTCCTGAAGGAGGAGCAAGATTTTTATAGACCTCTAGTGACTGCTAAAGGAGAGGCTGAAAATCCCAGGGATCCTGCAAGCTAGGCGGTACGGCCCTCTCACCAAAAATATGGTGAACTCTAAAATTACAAAGTGACTTGAATTTTTTTTTTTTTTTTTGGCCATACCATTGCAGCATGTGGGATCTTAGTTCCCTGACCAGGGACTGAACCCTCACCCCCTACAGTGGAAGAGCAGAGTCTAACCATAGGACCTCCAGGAAAGTCCAACTGATTTGCATTTGAGTCTCTATTGGACAGTTCTTAGATCACTGAATCTATAGATAATGATTTTAGTTTTTTTAATCATAATTTTAACTCTTAAAGTGACTCCTCCTTAAGCTTCTTAAGGGGCCCAGAGCCAGTTCTAGTCCTCTGGTCTTCTGATGTTCAGCTGTGTCCAACTCTTTGCAACCGCATAGACTATAGCCTGCCAGGCTCCTCTGTCCATGGGATCTCCCAGTTAAGAATACTGGAGTGAATAAAAATAAATGAAAAAAAAAAAAAGAATACTGGAGTGGGTTGCTATTTCTGCCTCCAGATCTTCCCGACCCAGGGATCGAACACACGTCTCCTGCATTGCAGGTGGATTCTTTACGGTGGTTAACAAAAAGTATTAAGGAAATGTCTTGAACCTGTTTTCCCTGCTCTGGTTTATTTTTTGATGGAGACTTGCCTCTAGGTAATGATGAACCAGAGAGAGGAGTCAAGGGTTTGTTGACAGATTAGCTGCTGGCAGATCAGCAAAAGGCCACCAGCTGTGGTCATGCTGCTAAGCGGGAGCTGGAGGGACAGACCTGGCCTTCTGGCTCGAGAGGCCCGCCCTGTGAGCTCTGAGCTCTGTGCCAAAAGGATAACCGGTAAAAAGAGCAAAGACTTGGGAATCCTCTGACCTTGTAGCTCATATGAACCACCTCACTAGCTCCAAAGAGCTCACCAGAATTCTGTGAACTTGGCTTTGCCTTTGGTTGAGACGCAGATGCTGGATTTTTACTCTGGACAGTGACAGGTAAATGTTGTGTTTGGACCAGAAGCAAAGATGTGGACAGTTTTCCCAAGTACAGTAGCTAGTTGAGTGAAGGTTACGGTTGCTCCCAGTCTGGTCGGGCCAGTCCATGATTAGTGTAAAAACTTACCTAAGAACTCTGGACCCTTGTATTGAGAATTGGAGGGACAGCGTTGAGAGGTGGACAGAGCCCGGTGGGGCCCAAAGAGCGGGGTGAATCCCCTCCCCCTCATCTCCTCCTGCCCTCTGTAGCCCCAGAGAGAACAGGGCGTCTAAGGAAAGATTCAGAACAGGAGGAAACATCTTGGAAAAGACCCAGGGAAACCGGAGCCTGGAAATGTCTGACCTTAATATCCAAGTAGATGAAAGAAAAGATTAGACTTCTCTTTTGGATATGACTTCATCAAGGAAAGAGATTGCGGGTGTGCGAGTGAGGTGGAGGGTTGGGGGGAGTAGCCATGTGACATCTGACTCCAGGTTGAAAGAAACTGGAGTAGAAAGAAGAAGCTCCGTTACCATCTTGTGAAAATATATTGGCAAACGAGTGGCTATTTTCAATCCAGATGGTCTTAGGTTGGGTTCCCTACAAGCAGTTGATTCTTTTTCTTTTTTTAAAAATAATTACTTTTATTTTTAGTTATTTGGCTGTGCCCGGACTTAGTTGTGACATGCAGGATCTTTAGGTCCCTGAGCAAGGATTGAACCTGGGACCCCAGCATTGGGAGCACATAGGCTTAGCCACTGGACCACAAGAGAAGTCCCTGAGATGGTGATTCTTATAAACCGATGTATTGAAGGGTAGGCTCTTGGGAGAAGCCTGCGAGGCAGGGGGGAACTGCACAGGGTAGCAGTCATGTGGCCCTAGCCTGATCCCACCGGGGTCTTGTGTGGGACTGGCTCTACAGTCCTGTCCTGCCCCAGGCAAGTGGGGGCCCACTCATGGGGATCCGGTCGGGGAACCACGAGCACTCACTGCACACAGAATAGAGGGGTTTGCTCTGTTTGAGAAGAGTTGACAGGGTCACTGAGGCCAGTGTCAGGTCAAAATGACACTGAGGACAGAGGGGGAGAGTTGGGGAGAGCTTTCAAGAAAGGAATGTATATTCAGTTCACAGCCCATGACAAATGTCATGGGTCTGTTTTTAGAGAATATTCTTTTGGCTTTGTTTAGCTCTTTTATTTTGAACCAGCTGGCCATCC